AGTTTCACGAAATCGCAGCACTGGGCAAAAGCAGCGCAGCACGCATCGAAAGAAGCATCGAAAGCAGACGCCGGTACGGAGTCTGCTTTCGATGCGAGCTGCGCTGCTTTTCCCCCGGTGCTGCGCTTTCGTAGAACTTTCACCGGGTCCTCAAAGATGAGGCTACCGTTCACGTCGGGTTTCAAGAATCTGCTTCGTCGCAACCTAATCAAGCACAAAATAACACCCACGGTACAGTGTACTAGATCCACGGCTATTTTATGGCAGCCTGCCGCCATTGCGCTGTGCGTCATATTACTATGATGGCTAGAGATGATATAACTCTACCAAAAAGATGGCCGACCGTGGCTGCATTCCCGTCCATAGGCGGAGCTGGTCAAACGCGATCCAGCAAATAGACATAGAGATCAGTGCATATGAATTACAATAAGCGCTCTGCTAGCGAAGCCTGTATAGATCTAGCCTAGGAAAGTACAAAATACAGAAGAAAAAAAAAACATTGAATGTAATGGAGTTACGCCATTCTTACCTGAGCCAACGCCGCGCTGTTGACTTTGCGGTTGTTGACTGCGCAGCACCTCGCTCGCTAGAGTTAGCAAATTTTGGGGTCTTGGCGCGTACCCAACTTGCTTCGCCACTTTAATAAACGTGTAGAAATATTTGGCGTGTAACCTTTCTAGACGACAGTAAAAAAAACGGTATTGTTTCTCCATAGCAAAACTAAAATGGAGCTGTCCTTTAAAACGAGAACGTCGTAAAATACGCTAGAACGCGCTTGCAAAGAAACTTGAATGACTGTGGGCGGCAGAAAACATTTGATCAAAAAATGTGGCTCCGCTTTCAGCTTGGAGATCCCTGCGTCTCCTTTTCAATTGCATCCGTCAATGGAACAACGAATGCCTCGCAGCGCGCCCCCTTCCCCCTTTTCCCTTTTTGTCATACCAGTGACCCGAAGCAAAAAAAAAGGGCATTCAGCCGTGATATTTCAACGAAGAAAAGCAATGTCGTCTGCAGCAAATCGCCTGGCTCACTGCTGAAAATTGGTGTGAGTTCCTCGGGTGCCTCCTGCTGCTTTGTTTGTTTCTCAATCTTCTCGACGCATGACAGATATATTTTTCGGAAGAAATGTTTTTCTTCCTTTTCGTTGTTTCCCCGCTGCCACATGGCGACTGCGTCCTTGGCACCCTAATACCATTCATTTATATGTCGCAGGGTGAATTCGTCGAAAACAAATCACTGCAATAATGGGTGTGTCTCGTAGAAAAAGGAACTTGTTGCCTGATCTTACCAAAGCGTTTTGCTCCTCGAAATTTAAGTTATTTCTATATAATAGCAGAGGCGACATAGCAGACAGTTTTAGTGTATAGCGCTGCTGGTTCTGCCGTATGCAATGCGCAAGAAACAGTAGCAGCCTCAGAAAAGGGCAGTTCGCCCTTTTCTGCGGTGTACAAATGGTACGAGTGCGAGTACGTAGAGAAACCGGACCAGGGTGACTTCATCAATCATGCTCTAAAAACGGCATCTGCGTAAATGCTATGGTGGGAACAAGTGTATAACCTAGTGGTGTCCAATTAAGGCGAAAACTCGGCGATTTGTTTAAGAGTCGTCTGGGCGGTGACGACTAACACCCCGATAAGTAAGGTCTAGCGGAGACCAGACCGAAGCGCTCACCGGCATTGCGGGCGGTGAACCTTTCATCTGCCCACTCCTGCAGCTGCATGGAAATCGTCTCCGCTGCGATAGATCCCGGAAATAATTGACAAGCTGAAATTTACGTGAGTATTCTAGAAAAATTTTTATTGACAAATCAACGTGAACACTGCGTGAATCATGCTCCCATTTAATATAGATGCCATCTTGAAATAGGGGCTCTCGTTGGCCCGAGATTCCTTGAGAACTTCGCGCAAGAGGTCCACAAAGCCAGGAAGTCCGCAACGCAAAATCCCCCTCGTTGTGTTCGTACGCAATACGCGTGCATTTCTGTTGTCTACTGCGCATGCGCACCTCTGATCCCCAAGTTTTTTGCGCATGCCATGATTTTGCTTGCGGTGCACTAAAATTGTAGAGTACTAATTTTTCGAATAGCGTACTCGAAGCAATAGAGTAGTCACCAGGCACTATTAGCGACGTGCGCGGCCAAACGCATCCCTGTTTTCGCAACTCGCGGTTGGTCAAACACTCACAGCAGTGTTTGAACTAACGCGTTACTAGTAACGACGTTACTGGTAGGGCGTTACTTTTTTGACTAACGTACTAACGTACTCGTTACTGTTCCAATTGACTAACCAGTAAAGTAATGCCGTTATTATTTTACGGTATCTCGTATCAAATTACGTTACCCGTTACTGGTTACTTTTGATTAAAAATAGCCGCATGATTGTTTTGAAAACAAAATAATTTTTATTCTGTACAACAAAGCTATGTATAAACGGCGTCATTTCAAACTCCTTCGGGGGAGTTCCCACGACCAGACTCCAGGCCCAAAAGGCACGAGATTATCGCCGCGCGGAACCACTAGGCGTCCTCGTTGCAGTCTTTGTAGAGAAGCTGCTAAAATCACCGTCGCCATACCATGCAGGAGCAGCCGTCTCTCTGGAAAGAGACATCCGTCCAGATGGCTACAGTCTGCCGCCGCTCAAAGGATTTTGTCTCAGCGTATATAGCTGGTCACACCCTTCTCTCAAAAAAAATATATATTCTCGTTCCGTCAACAACAGAAAGGATAACCTATCTCCCCTTTCCTCCCCTTCTCCCCCCTTTCCCTCCTGGGTATAATTGGCTGCTCGCTGTGGAAAGTTTACTCTCTGTTTCTATAGTTGAATGATGGAGTTGTGTTGTCCTTGTTTTAATTGTTTTATTCTTTCTTCAGCCATAAACTCAAAGTTTGGAAGCGTTGACGTTCCCACGTTTTGAACCAAAACAAGTGGCAAGGTTATCCCAGCATCGAACGGCGACTGTCACCAGAAAGACGTCACCATCTTTTAGAATCCCTGCCGCCGTGGTACAGAGGTGCGGTCTCTCGCTCGAGAACGACTCCCGTTCAGAAGGCCGCGTCTCACCAAATCCTCTGGGCATCCTTTGTCCCATAGCGCCTCAAAGATTAGACGAAGGACTCCGTCACCACCACGAACGGCACCTCCCTTGTATCGCAGTTCGTCAGACATAAATAGCGTAGTCTTCCACATGAAGGCATGCCCCCAACTCCCTGACATCCACAGACCGAATTATTTATTGCTGGACACTGCGCCCGCCTTTTCCTTGTCGCAGTTCCTGGTTGTGTGTGAAGGCTACTGTACCGATTTTCTAGAGAGACACATTCGTAGCAGTGATAGTGATGGGTTTCGTTTGTTTCGCCCTTACTTTGCTGCCTCTGCCGGCGAAAAAAAAAAAATGTGTTTGGCCGTGAAAGAGAAACTTAGGGTAAAGAGCTTATAAACGGGCGCCGCCTTTTTTAGTCATATACAGATGTGAAGATACTATGAGTACGCATGTGATAATAACCAAAATATGGCCGGCGCTATACTTCGTTTATAGTCACCCACCATCATCTTTGGTTGTAATTACGTCTGCCTCTAACCAACACGGCCGTTTTGGAACGCTTGTTATAAAAGCCCTTTTTACTGCCATCTCGCACTCACTTTTCGTGCAAGATGGCAACGGCCACCGAAGCTCCGTTACCATGGCCCGGGCTAAATGCTATGTTTGAACTGAGGTAAACGAAGTCAGACAATTTTCTGTCTCATGTCTAGTCTCTATGACTAAACTCAAGCTGCTGAGCACACCAGGCAAGTCGAGCTCTAATATGAAAAAGCAAATTAAGATAAGTTGTTCTTCAATGGCATTTACTTTTATTACGTAAAAATGTCCGGGCTGAGTTTTGTTAGCCAGAAGAATGCACCATTCTTTATAGATCGTTTTGTTAGTCGCACTGTTTTCAGCTATATCTCACAGTGCTCATCAATGTAAGCTAGCGAAAACACTTCGAAAACGGCTTAATTGAGGTTATTTGTATATTTCAGAAGAAGGGTAAATAAATCATGGCAGCTATATATATAAACATGCCTATTTAGTATTTGTCTAAATTTGAGATTTTTAGACAGTTTCTTCTGTCCTGATTCGCGATACAATTTATTTAGCTAACATTTCGTTGTGCCACACCACTGATAACTAGAAATTAACAAGTGTGTTTCGCATCAGTCCTAATTTTTCTCTTATTTCTCACCAATTCCTTCA